TTAAAGTACATTTTAAATATTGAAGCTTGAAAACTTTTGATAGATTTCTGTTCATTTGTAAATACAGTAAATAAATAAAAAAAAATTACAGATTTAAAGCTTACAAGCTATAACGTTGATTATTGATTATAGAATGTGTATGCCATATATGTATATACATATTTAAATTTAATCTGATTGTGATTTATTTTACAGGGCGATAGTAAGAAGAAAATATCGAGTCGATAGTATCGAGTGATCTGGAATCCGCTTTACAAAAGTGTACTTTTGATTATAATTAATTTATAATTTGTATTGAGGTGTGAATGATTTTAAATTAGGTAACTAGCACAAATGTTGATGCATTTAACTCCATATCTGTTTGACCTTGACAGTTGCAAATGCAAATGCATTCCACACTGTTTGGCCGGGGCCGATTGATAAGCGACTACTGGTTATATTCAATTATGAGTCTTAATTATGCGATCTCAATAGCGACAATTAATAATCAATTTGAATTTAAATGCGAACAACATGTAGCGCCGATAACCTCACTGAGGTAATGTCATTCCGAGCGAATCTTAATGCTGCAGCAGGCAAACATTCCCGTACATATGTATATGCATGCATAAAATATACATATACGAGTACATATGTATGTATGTTAGTATGGGAGCAAAAGCTCATCAACAAAGTGTGCCTGAGTTGAAGCTCAGCACGAATTTAAACTAACAAACTTTGTAACCCCAAAACACACTCATACTCACACACACACACACACACACATGTGAATACAGTACGAGTTGAAGCTTTTTCGGAAGCTGCCTGATGAAAGCTGCTTTAAACAACCAGTCACAAACCTGCACAGAACCAACTGTTGTCGCTGTTTGTTGGACTGAGTTGAACTTGCCTTTCACCATGAATCTGGAGCAGCGCACTTATCTGTTGGTGACGGGCGCCTCGCGCGGCATTGGACGCGAAATGGCCCTTCAGTTGTCCCATCAGGTGAAGGCGGCCGGTTCGGTGGTGGTACTCTTGGGTCGCAGCGAGCCGTTGCTGCAGGAGGCCAAGGCGACCATATTGACGGATCACAGCAAGCTGGTAGTGCACACCTATTCATTGGAACTGGCCACAGCCAACACAGCGGACTTTGTGCGCATTCTGGACGAAACGCTAAGGGGCATTGATGTCAAACAATTTGAGCGGTCGATTGTCATTCACAATGCTGGCACATTGGGCGACACATCCAAGCATGCCAGGGAATTGGGCGATACCGGGATACTGGAACAATATTATCACATCAACTTGTTCTCGGCGATGGCATTGAACTGTGAGTTCATGCGTACGTTTGCCGGCATACCCAAGCTGGTGGTAAATCTTAGCACATTGGCGGCCCTGGAGCCATTCTCTTCCATGGCCTACTACTGTACGGTGAAGTCGGCACGTGAAATGTACTTTCGTGTGCTCGCACTGGAGGAGCCGCCAGCTGAGACGCTAGTGGTTAATTACGCACCAGGCGTCATTGACACACAGATGACACTTCAGGTGCAGAGCGAATCACACGATCCGTCATTGGCTGCCGCATTCAGGGAGCAGCGAGAGTCCAAGACCATGCTGACACCGCAGCAAACGGTGCTCAAGTTTGTACAGGTGCTGCAGGCACATAAGTTTAAGTCGGGCGATCACGTTGACTACCGAGACTAGGAGTAAGCAATTTAGTTCTTCCGGTTTATGGGTTTTCTATTACACTCAAATAAAGCTTAAACAAAACTATCAAAAAAAAAAAGTAAAGTTTTGAACTTTTAAAAGAAATCTGCAGCGGCGCTTCGTCTTTTTGCTGGTATTTTTAGCAGATCGTCAGTCAGTGTGGAGCCGGTATCGATGGGTGTTGCATTGCCGGAGCTGTTGGCCTTGGCTGGTGTCTGTTGTTTGCCACCGCTCGGCATCGGCCGCACCACACCTGGTGTGACTTTGCGCTTGCGCGCCTGTCCTGGCGATGGTGTCAGTAACGGTGTGTGATGTGTGCGCAGCCCCAGTTTGCTGCTGGCGAGCCGACGCGCAGCCGGCGACATGCTGGCCAGACGCTCCATGCTGGAGCGCACGAAGGGCGAACCGATGTTGCGGCGCGCTGTATTTAGAGCTTGTTGTTTTTGGTTGCGCATCTTCTCGCTGACCTTCTCCGCCAGCGCAATGGCAATGTTCTCCCTGCGCGAGTTCTCATTGATGTGAAACGAGGGCCCAGGCGTATTGCGCAGAGGCGTATCGCCACCATCTAGCCGAAAGGGCGTTCCATCGATCTCACCCCAGGTCATAATGGGTGAGAAAGCTTCGCCGGGACATACGGATGGTGAGCGCAACAGATCAAAGCCACGAATACGAGGCGTTCCCGTTCCCTGTGAACTGGCCTCTTCACCCGTTGCATTCATCTTGGTGAGACTGACATTTGTAGCTGGCTTGCTGCCCGGCGTTTCGGGCTGGGACGTGGCCGGCAGTCTTGTGGCATTGTGCTGAATGCTTTGTTTGCGTTCGGCGAGCTGAACGCGTTCTTGTTCGGTCAACTCAACGCCATCAGGCACATACATAATGGAATTCATGTTGGTGTATTTCCACGTCTCAATCTTGCGCAAGGGATCGGGATCTTCAAATTGCTGCTCAATGCTGGGTAACATTAATGCACGCTGCAGTTGCTCCATGGACAGCTGCTCATGATTGTACAACAAGGCGTACTTTAGTCGCAGCTTCGCCTCGGCCGTTTCAATTATTTCCTGAAAACTTTGATTATCCTCGCTGGTGTAGTGCTGCAGAAAGGCGTCCAAGGACATTTTGTGTCCAAGGGCATCCGGTTGTCCACCTTCGGCCTTGGAGCACTGACTGCCACCGCTGACACTGAGTGGCGTGTCTGGACGTGGCGTTGCACTGGCGTCAGTGGTGCCCAGTGGTGTTTCAAATGTGGCTGGTGACATGGCTGCAAGAGAGCCAAATATCTTGTTGAGTGTATTGCTAGCTGCGGGTGTAATAATAATCAGCTTACCATTGTTGCGACTATTAGAGCCGCGCCGGTTTCCAGTGCCGGAGACACGGCCAAGACTGTAGCGTGCTCGTATTTCGGCCATTTGTAAAAAATCGCGGCGCGACTCCGCTTCCAGGTAGTCATTTTGTGCCCGCAGTCGCTCTAGGTCGGGAAAGAAGTCACGCTGTATGATTTTGGACATCTCTTCAATATACCGTTCCTCGGTTAGGATTTTGGGTTTAATTTTGCGTCGATCGTTGCTGTTGGGCAGCGGACGCTTAAACTCTGCCAGTGCTGTGTTTTGCGCCTTGGCTATTTCCACGGCCCGACTGCCGGGTGTGTTGGGCGTGCTTGGTGTATCGGCCATAATACTAGGATCTCTTTAAATTCTGTTTTGGTGAGACTCTCAACTTTAATAAAATCACAAGCCAAACAAACGTTTCATGTCAGCTGGAGGGTTGCCAGACAGATGCAAAACTATTGAATAAGCTATCGTACTATCGATTGCACCTAATGCCATTAATATAGGTATTCCTTTTTAATCGATATCCCAGTTCTCTAGTGGGAAAAACTTATAGATTGCGAAAAACTCCGTGGAACAAACGTTTTATTATTATAATATTGCATTGCAAACACACTTGTGGCGCATTTACTGCAATTCACAACAATAGGATCTTTAGCATGCTGACTGATTCAGAAAGTGTGGAACGGCATACAGTGTCTCAGACCTTATTTCGACCAGTGTCTAGCAAAAACTTTAATTGCCTGCCATAAACTAATTATCCATTAATTTTCAAAAATTCCAAAGACAGATGCCAGGTACATATATTAACCACCAAAATGAACATATGACCCCAATAAACTGGGATTTCCCCACATGCTAGGTCGGGTTATGTAAAAAAGTACCTTAAAAGTACCGTACAGATTATTACCAACAGTGGCATTATGGACACCTGGGTGCCATAAAACCCGAATTTCTTTACGTCAGCTTGAATATTTTTGGTATAAATAAAGCAATCCTTCGTAGTCAGTTCAGTCAACAAGAACTATGGGCAAACGGACTACCATTGAACAACGGAAACTCATCCTGGAGCACTTCAAAAAAGGGTATTCACATCGCCAAATAGCCGACATGGTCAATTTAAGCAGGTCAACTGTATTCAGCATCCTTCGTCGCTTCGTCGACGAAAATCGGATAGAGGACAAGGGCAGAAAGGCACCAAACAAGATTTTCACCGAAAAGGAAGAGCGGAGGATCATCAGGATAAAAAGGAAAAATCCTACACTATCGGCTCCAAAACTGTCTCAACAGGTGCAGGATGAAATGGGGAAAAAGTGCAGTGCGGAAACTGTGCGCCGGGTTCTGCGCAACCATGACTTCAATGCCCGAGTACCACGGAAGAAGCCCTTTACAAGCAAACAAAATAAAGGGACTAGGATGACGTTCGCCAAAACCTACTTGGACAAGGAACCACTTTCTGGAACACAGACAAATTTGCAGATGAGTCCAAATTCAAAATTTTTGCCTCGGACGGACGGAATTATGTGTGGCGACAGTCAAATACGGAGCCGAATCCCAAAGACTTAAAGGCAACAGTCAATCACGGAGGAGGAATGATATCATACTAAGTATTAACATCTTTCTTTAAGTTTTATACGCCAAATATGTTACTTTTTTAAGACTGTCTAAAATAAGAGGTGACATGTATTTTGGATGTTTTCAGTTTTGACTAATTTTAATTAATTAATTAATATTTTAATAAAAACTAAAGTTGATTTTTCAAACGTGATATAACACGAAACAAATTGGCATTTAAACATTTTGCGTTTGTTTCCTTGTTTAAACTTTATAACACTTTAAATTTGTTGCTTGACACTGGTCGAAATAAGGTCTGAGGCACTGTATATGTATATACAGTGTCTCACAGCTCATCTGGAACAGTGCCTAGCAACAATTTTAATTGCCTGCCATAAACTAATTATCCATTAATTTTCAAAAATTCCAAAGACCGATGCCAGGTACATATATTAACCACCAAAATGAACATATGACCCCAATAAACTGGGATTTCCCCACATGCTAGGTCGGGTTATGTAAAAAAGTACCTTAAAAGTACCAACAGTGGCATTATGGACACCTGGGTGCCATAAAACCCGAATTTTTTTACGTCAGCTTGAATATTTTTGGTATAAATAGACCAATCCTTCGTAGTCAGTTCAGTTATATCCTGCATCTCGGGTGCAACCAGCCAACAAGAACTATGGGCAAACGGACTACCATTGAGCAACGGAAACTCATCCTGGAGCACTTCAAAAAAGGATATTCACATCGCCAAATAGCTAAAATGGTAAATCTAAGCACCACAACTGTATTCAACATCATTCGGCGCTTCGTCGACGAAAATCGGATAGAGGACAAGGGCAGAAAGGCACCACACAAGATTTTCACCGAAAAGGAAGAGCGGAGGATTATCAGGATAAAAAGGAAAAATCCTACACTATCGGCTCCAAAACTGTCTCAACAGGTGCAGGATGAAATGGGGAAAAAGTGCAGTGCGGAAACTGTGCGCCGGGTTCTGCGCAACCATGACTTCAATGCCCGAGTACCACGGAAGAAGCCCTTTACAAGCAAACAAAATAAAGGGACTAGGATGACGTTCGCCAAAACCTACTTGGACAAGGAACCACTTTCTGGAACACAGACAAATTTGCAGATGAGTCCAAATTCAAAATTTTTGCCTCGGACGGACGGAATTATGTGTGGCGACAGTCAAATACGGAGCCGAATCCCAAAGACTTAAAGGCAACAGTCAATCACGGAGGAGGAATGATATCATACTAAGTATTAACATCTTTCTTTAAGTTTTATACGCCAAATATGTTACTTTTTTAAGACTGTCTAAAATAAGCGGTGACATGTATTTTGGATATGTTTTCAGTTTTGACTAATTTTAATTAATTAATTAATATTTTAATAAAAATTAAAGTTTCCTTTTCAAACGAGATATAACATAATACAAATTGGCATTTAAACATTTTGCGTTTGTTTCCTTGTTTAAACTTTATAGCACTTTAAATTTTTTGATAGGCACTGTTCCAGATGAGCTGTGAGACACTGTATATACATATATATATGGGGGAATGGAGGTATGTATATAGTCGTGATCGTCTGTTTTTATGAAAACTATTTCCTCAATTATGAAGCTATATTGACACCGGTCGGATAAGATTTGTATATCAAATATAGTCGGAAGGTGAGTTTTTTTGTCAACAACTTTTGTTTACTCAAAATGTTCAAATCAAATTTACCCATTTTGCATCGGACTATAAATCATATTATTTTACCCAATCTTACCTCTAAAATCAGCATTAGACTACTACACCGTATATCTCTTTCATGGACACAATAAGTCCGTTTTTTAAAAATATACTTTGATATCGAAGGTAACATAATATATTGGTTTTGTGCAATGTCCGACATGCTTTCTGTCCGTCTGAATGAAAGCAACTTTTTTCGACACCCTTAGAGATATAGACTTGAAACTTGATACACATACTGGGTCTGGACTCGCGTCAAAGTGTACAAATTGGAGTGTTACGTCCACTAAGGCCACATATCTCCCACAATTTTAAGGCTACAGTCTCCAAATTTGATTGGTAGGTTGTTGGCAATGTCCTGCAAAGATCGGCATATGCCAACAAATCAAACTCAAACAATTTGAAAGCTAGAGTCACCAAATTTTGAACTTGAAAGGCAACTTGGACGGTATTTCTTGGGTGCACTCATCCTGTTACTTGCTGCCTGTTAACAGCTACTATTACTTATGGCATCAAAGTATTTTGCAGTCGGTTACGTCCAACTCTAATTTTCTTGTTTTTTTTTTTTTCAATTTACAGTAAAATTTAAATGTAGGCAATGTGAATCCGGCCTATAAGATCTAAGATACCAGTTCTTCCTTGTTGATTTTGGTTTGGCCTCTAGAATAATAGTGAATTTAAATATAGAAACAAAATATGTTAAAATTTTACTAGAATTGTACTGCCCCTTGTGCGTTGAGTATTAGTAATTACAGAGGGATTCGAATCACATTGTATGTGTGTCAACAATATTTAAAATGAATCACAGTACTGACCCACCAATGAGGAAATGGGTGATAATCCATCGCGTTATAATATCCCAATATCCTAGCACACATCTGATGGTTTCATCAGCCAATGCAATTGACTCAGCCTTAAATTTTGATTCGGTATTCCAAGATCTTATTTTTAAAGGTGGTGGATCTGGGCGTCAAAGTGTGCGACATATGGTGTCGTTATCATTAGTAACGGCACGTTTGTGACGTGCATTGAATACATATGTACATATGTGCTTGTACATACATACAAATATACATATATACTCACTTGGTAAGTAAGTATGTCTGAGAGTCGAGTCTCTGCGATTTCACACGTTGTCATAGTGCTGCCTAGGAAATAATAATAAAAAAAAATAACCAAGTGACATGCCGTCAAAACGCGAAGTTCATTAGTCACAATACAAATATACAAATCTATATATATAAAACAACAAAAAAAAAAGTTTAAAAATATCTTGAATGTGACGTGTAGAATGAGCTAGGGCAACCTGTGATTGGAGATTGATTATGCCGCTATTGAACTTTGTCCGTTTCACATAACAAATGTTCCGGACAATTCCAAAAAGACCAGCCATCAAAGAGCTGTCATATATACATACATGTACATATGTATATATGTAGATATGGATATTCATACATAAATAATCACACGGGGCCCGTTTATCCTAGTTTTTCGCAGCGTCTAAAATTTAATAACGTTCTCGCTGCTGCTGCTGCTGCTGCTGTTGTTGTTATTATTATTGTTGGCTTCATAAATAACAGCAAATTGGCATGCATTCGGGTTTCCAGTTGAGGCACGGCCCGGGAGCACATAAATTTCTCAACACTTGCATAAAATTCATAAAAACAATAATACAAAATAAAATAAGTGAGAGCGTTGCAGTCGGGCGTAACCGACTACGGAATACTCAGATACTCTGAACTATATACATAAATATTTATTGTTATGGTGTCTTTTTTTATACTTTGATACCGAAGGTTCGATAGTATATTGGTTTTGTGCAATGTCCGTCATGCTGTCTGTCCGTCTGTATGAAAGCGTATTTAGAGATAGAGACTTGAAACTTGGAACAAATACTGCTCTGTGCCCGGGACAAACTGTACAAATTAGACTAGTACGTCACTACTACTAGGAAATCGGTAATTGCAAATCGATAAAGCCATATATCTGCCACAATTTCTACGTCTACGGCTACGGGTAGGTTGTTGGCGATGTCCTTCGAAGATTGGCATATGCCACGCCTACACCCGTCGTCAGCAGGAAATTCGGCCTTAGAAATCAGAGATGCGCGAATTTCCACAATTTGAAAGCTAGAGTCACCA